CGGGTCCTGACCACTGGCCTCACAGCTCCGGCCTTAGAAGGACGGGGGAGCTTGGGGTTCAGGGTCCTAGCTTCAGCCCGGGTCTTCGGAGTGGAAGAGACTGACTATCGTTCAGAGTTTAACACGTAGGCTTTCGCGACCAATATTATTCATAATAAAGTTTTTTTGGGTTAGATCGCGTTATTTATAAATGTGTCGTAACCCTCCACCACCCGACACGGCCAATCAGCAAAAAAGTGTCACGTTGACAAAAGACAAATAATTCACTACTTTAGCTAAAGTAGTGAATTATTTGGAAGGAAGGCGGGGCCGGGGCAGAGGAAGCCCCGAACCGGGATATGTCGGACCTCTGAACGATATTCATAATAAAGTTTTTTGGGTTAGATTGCGTTATTTATAAATGTGTCGTAACCCTCCACCACCCGACATGGCCAATCAGCAAAAAAAGTGTCACGTTGACAAAATACAAATAATTCACTACTTTAGCTAAAGTAGTTAATTATTTGTCTTTATTTATAAATGTGTCGTAACCCTCCACCCGACACGGCCAATCAGCAAAAAAAGTGTCACGTTGACAAAAGACAAATAATTCACTACTTTAGCTAAAGTAGCTTCCACCAGGTCCTGGAAGGGTGACGCCATCCCCCAATCCCCCCACCCGGGGTTTGTGGATTGTGTCCCAGGATCCGTTATCCCGGACATCACCGTTGGCCCCCTTTGGCCTCTCTTCCGCCCCCTGTTGACCCAATAGTGATGCTACCCGCTGACAACATGGGGAGTGCGGAAATAACACCTCTACACAAATACTCTACACAGGCATATGTTGACTCAAACGTACACGAAAGGAAAAAATACGCGTGTCCAACAGACTGCTAAGAAAGACGTTAAACAATAAATAACGATATATTAATGCACACTAAGAAAACATCTAAATACATACTATTGTGTACACAAATCCAAAGATTAAGATTTCCCCCCGATAGCAATAACAGACTGTTGGGGCAAGTCCTGTTGGCAGGCGCCTATGAAGGCCGGCACGGTACACGAGGGGGTGGGTGGCCAGCACCACGCCCGGCCGCCTTTGTCTCCCCAGTGACGATATTTGCACATCGCACTCAGAGGCTGAGTCGACCTTAGGGGAGGCCCGAGACCGATTCAGATAATCGTCGCCGGTATCAGCCGTGAGCAGGAATCGAACTAGGCACGGCGGGTTCGTAGGGCAGCGCTAACCGCTGCCCCACCGCTCCCCTCCTCACAACTCGCCGCCTCTGACGTCACTTTTCCGCGTGACGTCATCGGCGCGAGACCTCCCTGGGGGAGGTGTACTCGCTAGTGACGTCATGTCATCAAGGAAACTCCACGTCTGAATAGGCAGACGTGGCATTGAGTCTGCTTGGTCGCTTCCGATTTCCATTCCAGTAAAACAAATACCACTGGCGGCTCATCAACGTAATTCACGCATTAATTATGTCGCGGGGTCATTATGTGCGGATCGTTAACATAATTTATACATACACCCCGTTGACTTGCGGGGAGGCGGTGGGTACTAGTGACGTCATGACATCTCCCCCGCCGCGCGTTTCCGTGTGACGTCACGAGATCCCAGGAGCTGCTTCTGTGCGCGCAACTCTCTAGGATCAGAGGTGAGAAGTTCAAATCGTGATGTTGGTTGTTGTTCACCCAGGTACAGCCTCGCTTCTTCCCTCTCTCGTAGCGATAGCAATTGAGTTGCGGCAAGTATGGAATCGATGTCCAGGTTGGAACGTTACTACGTGGGGTCGAGCCATGCAGGCCTTGCCTCCTGCCCTTGCCTGACTGACTTTGCTTTGATTCTCCTAAGTTTAATTTGTCTTCATCTGGCTGACTACTTCACCTCTCAGAGTCTCCATACTCTAGTTCAGGATCATCGAGTTTTTGTTTTGTATTCGGCGGGGGAGGGGGGCGATGCTTCTGCGCGTATTCCCGATTGAGTAATTTGCAGGCCGCTTGTCAACACTGGCATATTCGGACGATACCAGTCCAGACGTTTAATTTTAGTCGGAATGAGACGTCAAAGCTTTACACAATTACACTCGCCCACCAACACGCTCACCCACACGCTCCCACTCATACACTTACACACTCACCCACTGTTAGCGAGCATCTATGAAGGCCGGCACGGCACACGAAGGGGTGGGTGACCAGCACCACGCCCGGACTGCCTTTGTCTCCCGAGTGGCGATATTTACACACCGCACCAGGTAATCATTTGAGGCTGAGTCGATCTAGAGGAGGCCCAGAACCGGTTCAGATAATCGTCACAGGTGTTGGCCGTGAGCGGGAATCGAACCCGGGTCGCCAGGTTCATAGCGCGACAATACCTCTCCCCACACAAACGCCCACGCACACACACCCTCCCACTCACTCACACTCACCCTCCCACTCACTCACCCTCCCACTCACTCACCCTCCCACTCACTCACACTCACCCTCCCACTCACTCACCATCCCTCCCACTCACTCTCACCCTCCCACTCACCCTCACACTCACCCTCCCACTCACCCTCACACTCACCCTCCCACTCACCCTCACACTCACCCTCCCACTCACCCTCCCACTCACACTCACCCTCCCACTCACCCTCCCACTCACACTCACCCGCCCTCCCACTCGCGCTCCCTCCCACTCGCCCTCCCTCCCACTCACCCTCCCACTCACCCTCCCTCCCACTCGCCCTCCCTCCCACTCACCCTCCCACTCACCCTCCCTCCCACTCACCCTCCCACTCACTCACCATCCCTCCCACTCACTCACCATCCCTCCCACCCACTCACTCACCCTCCCACTCACCCTCCCACTCACTCACCCTCCCACTCACTCACCCTCCCTCCCACTCACCATCCCTCCCACTCACCATCCCTCCCACTCACTCACCCTCCCACTCACCCTCCCACTCACTCACCATCCCTCCCACTCACCCTCCCACTCACCCTCCCACTCACTCACCCTCCCTCCCACTCGCCGTCCCTCCCACTCGCCATCCCTCCCACTCATCATCCCACTCACGCACACACTCGTCCACCCACACACTCGTCCATCCATCCACTCACAATCACAAGTTTATTACCGGGTAAAGTCCATTCAGCTAAGAAGCTCTTTTTCAAGGGCGACTTGGCCAGCAGACATTAAAGCATTCCTTAATTACATATTTACAGAAACAAACTTAATAATAAGAGCAATTATGTTATCCATAAGAGGTGTTTAGGTTAGATTGCGTACGTATGAATGTATCGTTAAACCCGCCACCACCCAACAAAGCCAATTAGTAAGGTTTGTCACGTAAACAGAACATGCTAATTCATTACTAGTACAGCCCTTATTTGTCAGTGTTGGAGAGCCAAGTCACAACATTTACAGTCTGAGTACGATGTTTTGCCAGTAATTACAACTAGCTTCATCAGACGACAGCCAGATTTGTGGAAAGTCCACCTGTTTCGTTCCTTAAATAGAGGCGTAGTTGTGATAACACTTGTGGGGATTAATGAATCAACGTGCATTATGCATGCGCATTATGCGAGCTCATTGATCTTGTACTTCCTGTCTATTGTGGACACAAAATTAGTCCTACCAATGCTAATCGCTATTGAAGTATGGTGCAGCACTAAGTCTGTAGCTATCCAAACTGTTAACATTTTTATTTCTCTAAATTTTGATAGATTCTCTAACTCGATAGATTCTATAATTAGTCTTGATAATTCGGCACGAGATGAATAACACTGGTCTACAGCCAAAATGCTTCCAAAATAAATGTAGTCCAACTTTACTAATTCTGGGTCACTGCGAATGAAAATGATGCTTAAAATTGTTGATTGGCTCTAGTTTTCAAGATATGCTGCTGGGTCAGTATATACGACCCTTGATTTGGGAATGGCGGAGGATAAGTAAGTTATAAATGGAAGGGATCTCAATTTAAACTGGAAATGACTAAAATACATCTTTGACTGGATCTATGAATAAATCTATGACTGGGTTTGGACAGTTCTTGCTTTTTGAGCAAAACAATTTGACCCTGGTATTGTGAATTGCATTATGGTATTTCTGTAAGTCATAGATGATGCAATCATAACTAGCCTTACATCCCCCTGCTGAATAAATTGCCCGATATCAGCTCTAGAAATCATGCAGTGTCGTGCTTTCTTATTTGTCAGTGTTTGATTTTGCAAAGGGACATTTCTGTTTAGCCAAAGTGAGCAGAAATGCCTTGTACTTGTGTGAACAAAGCAAATCGCTTCTGCTATGTTTGTGGTGAAGTGACTTTTGCATCACAAAAACGCAGGATAACCACTATGGTTAAGAAAGCTATCACCTTTATTTTGGCTTCAAAATTTAAGCGGAAAAGGAAATGTATGCCTTTTGCAGTGCCAATGATTTGGAGATAGCCAACAGATCATATCAGAAATTGTTACTGCTGCATGGTGCCTCCAGTTGGGAAAGGTGTGTCAAGGAAGAAAAAGTGGACTGTGCATTATCTAAACATTCCATCAGCTGTACGTCCAGTGCCCCACGGAGGACTGCCGGATCCTGATGCACCAGAATCATTCTCACTTGAGTCAGACGAGGAAGAGGATGAAACCTCTGGTCCTGACCCGTTAAGGTCACATAACCCAAATTTTCTCCCATCGTCCTCCTCTGAACCACACCTCATAACACAAGGTGTACTGAAAGACCTTGTTAGGGATTTGGAACTACCCAAGAGTATGGCTGTTGGGCTCCAGACTGCAGCAGTGGAATCTTCTGGTAGGTGATGTTAGGGTTGCCATGTTCTGTGACCGTCAAAAGGATCTTGTCCCATTCTTCATGTAAGATATTATCTTGTAGCCTGCAACAACTTCGATGGTGTGATGGCAGCCCTCAACATCGTTCATGATCCAGATGAGTGGCGACTGTTCATTGATTCACCGAAGATGAGTCTTAAAGCTGTTTTGCTGCATAATGGAGATGTTTTGCCATCAATTCCAGTTGATCATGCAGTCCATATGAAGGAAACCTATGACAACATGAAACAACTTTTGAGGTGCATAAACTACAACCAACATCAGTGGCAGCTTTGTGGCGATTTGAAGGCTGTTGCTTTCTTGCTTGGGCTGCAGTATGGATACACAAAGTACTGCTGTTTTCTCTGCGAATGGGATAGTCGCGCAAGAGATTCCCACTACATCAAGATATATTGGCCACTTCAACAGTCATTGGAGCCTGGGAGGAAAAGTATTCAGCATCCACCACTTGTTGAATCAAGGAAGATGTTACCATCCTTACACATCAAGCTGGGTCTGATGAAGATCTTTGTCAATGCCGTGGACAAAACACAAGCAGCTTTCAAGTACCTCCATGGAAAATTTCCAAGGTTAAGTGAAGCTAAGATGAAGGAAGGTGTCTTTTTTTTGGTCTTCAGATTCGTGAACTTCTTTGAGATGATGCATTTGACAGTGCACTGCGTGGCAAGGAAAAGACTGCATGGAAAGCCTTCCAGTTAGTGGCAACAATTTTTTTTGGAAACAACAAGGCAGACAACTACAGGGAGTTTATGGAAAATCTTCTCAAGGCATACAAAAGTTTTGGTTGCAACATGTCACTAAAGATACATTTTTTGCACTCTTATCTAGATTTTTTCCCACCGAACTACAGAGCACTGAGCGACGAGCATGGCAAGCGATTTCACCAGGACATTGCAGCAATGGAGAAATGCTATCAGGGCCAATGGAGCCCATCAATGCTGGCAGACTATTGCTGGACAGTGACAAGAGATGCTCCATTTAAAGAATACAAGAGACAAACCAAGAAGCATCGAGTAAATACTAATAGTTTCTTGCCTTTTATTTCATAATACATTTTATATAACGCTTTTGCTGATTTTAAAAATGTTACATGAACAGGACAGGTGAAATTTTTTCATGTAAAGCAACCATAAACGCATGAAAAGACCTAGGTTTACAATTTATGAGTAAAACTCTACTATGTACATAAAATGTAAAAACTTAAATATCGGTGGAACAGCCAATCAATTGTTTTGTCAAATTAGAATTCAGCACATCAAAATCCATTAAAAAACAGCACATTTCATCTCTGAAGCAGACGACGTCTAAATATCTGTCGACCAGTGTAATCAGCATGAGACTAAAAGCACAAAATAAATATTAAAAACTCCCAATGTTTTTCTGTTAAAGAGGCTGATTTTAACACCACCTGTGTTCTTGCCGGAAAGAGTAAAAGCCTTTTCTTTTTTCTTAAAAATAATATTTTCATCATAAATTTGGACCAGGATGCCAGTACACAATGGGCTACTCATGAAAAAGAAAGTGAATAACTTTTAACATCCATTGTGCAGCATATGATGTATGTTCATGTAATTTACACGCCTCCAAGATGAATAATAAAACAAATTTACTTTCTCTGGTGCTGCATTTCATCCATAGATCACAATGTGCGCTGTGTATGGAAAGTAGGTAATACACAAAACCCGCAGGGTAAACAGCCAGTCTCAATAACTCACCCACTCAATCACGCACTCGCTCACCCACTCAACCATCCACTCAACCATCCACTTACTCATTCACTTGCTCACTCAATCTTTCATGAACTCATTCTCACACACCCACTCGTTCACCCGCTCACTCGCCCATTCGCTCACCCACCCCACCCACTTGCTCACCTACTCACTCGCTCAGAACCAGGGTAAATGGCCAAAACTATGCGGGGGTGAAGGTCAGTTTAAAGAGGTGAGTTTTCAAGACAGACTTAATTATTACAAATAATAATGAGCCAAGAATGTGTGTGTCCCGCACATGACTTCACTACACATGAGGCCCACCCCACCATTAATATTCATATGAGTGGGTGGATTTTTACACTAACGCAGAGGAAGGTCGAGCTGAATTAAATAATTTATTACGCAAAGTCGCTTCAAATATGACGTTTCTTTACAGAAAGTGACGGTAAAAAATAAATATACGCAGCACAGTGCATCATCCGTATCTGAAGTAACTGCAAAAGAGCCCCCCCCTTCATTAATACTCATGCCCGCGTGGAAATTTACACGAACGGACAAGGTCGCGAACTCCACATGCCGCACCGCTCTCATTAATAATCATGAGCGGGTGACGTCACTCCACATGCCCCACCCCTCCACAATAACCATTAGGGTGTGATGTCACTCCACATGCCGCACCCCTCTCCAGTAACCATTAGCGGGTGACGTCACCCTACATGGGGCAACCCCCCCCCCTCATTAATAATCATGAGCTGAACAATTTTTCTATTAAATATTTCAGATTTACTACAATATACACCCGTCCTTGGACAGCCAAAAAAGTTAGCATTTAATGACTCTTACTAAGCAGGGTGACCGCTTCATTTGACCGGAGTGGTGAACTTGGAATTCTGGATTGGTGACGTTTGCACGGCAGTGGGTTCAGCCTGCTTGAACAGTGCGTGGGCAAAACCTTCCCTGTCACTGAGAGAGGAGGCAGACTGACCAATATCTTCCACAGTCGGTGTGGGTGCCCTTGCCCTTATACAGCCAAAGCTCGCGTAGCGCTCCTCCAGATGCATTGTTCCTGGAGAATTGAACGCCAATCGATCAACGCTACAAGGGGTCATCATAACCCCATTGTATACTACTTAAGGATGCGTTTCTGACACTGTTATTTCCTTAGTATTAATAACTAGCTTCTTTGCCCGTCCTAGGATGGAAGCTGTAATATTTACGAAAAAATTGAGTGGCGTATAATTGTATCTTGTGTAAATTTAATGGCAGTGAATCTTGCACGAAAGTATGCCATCAAACACTTCACTGCAGTACACTGTAGCACTGTATTAATCGAGTGAATCTGGCACAAAACTGTCATAAAACACCTCGGTTCATGTTACTGTAACACTGTATATAACTGACCTTCAATTTGTTAATTTACTGCTCTGATACTTTATTCTCTTCTGCTTTCGGTCGCATGGGTTGAAATAAATTGGAATTCGTTACAATATCTGGAAAATCACCGAGAAATGTATTTTAGCATAAAGTAGACTTACCTTTTGTCTCAAGTGCTGAAGAGATAAAGACACCAAATCCACCTTGTTGCTACTTAGATTGATTTATATTCCCTTGCAATAAAAACACGTGAAACTTCAAGCGAATTTGCAAAAAAAATAATGTATTTCCGCTCGACCTGCGGGAATGTAAAAATCCACCCGCTCATGAATATTAATGATGGTGGGGGGTGCGGCATGTTGGGTGACATCACGCGCGTTACACACAGATATTCTTGGCTCAGTAGTAATATGAGGGCTTCACTGGGGTATCGGTAATAGCGCTAATACAGATGCTAAACAGTTAATAAAATTAATGATTTATAATAGCATCGGTATTATGTACTATACTTATGAGTCCATCCTACTTTACTCATCCTACAAGGTAGCGGAGGCAGACGAGCATGAAGGAGCTGTTGCGCTTCCAGTCTGGGTAATTCTCACAGAAAGGCTTCAGGACCGCCATGATCTTAGTGAAGACCTAAATCTAAAGTTGTGTGGCGAGGTTTTTATAGGTGGAGCCTGAGACTGTCCTAGTCGTGTGAGTTCCCAACTGGCTAAACAAGTCAGTGTTTTTTAAATATAATCGTGACCATGAATCGTGATAATTGAATCGCGGGTGGTGGGGTCTGGTTGGCTTAGAGTGTGTGTCGCTCTCATGGGCTGAGCGAATGATGGAGCCAGGTACATTTCCTTGGCTAGCGCTGCGTGTTCTCACTCGTGAGCACTTTGCAAACTTAAAAAAAGTTATGAACAAAAATCTCCAGGACAAACAGCGCTGTAACAAATCAGCATCATTCTACGGGGTCGTACTAAGCGAGGTCTGCCTGTTTTTGCGTGTAATAAGCATGTATCTGCAGAATCAATCACATGGAGAAGACAGGCTTGGCAACGACTGGAAGTAAAAGGCACCAATGCATCCAGTGTCCATACAGCACAGATCAGATGGATAACTTGAAGGGACACCAGAGAAAACACACTGGCGAGAAGCCCTTCAAGTGCTCTGTGTGTGGAAAGGCATTCATACGGTCAGTATATGTCCATATTCACTAGAAAACACGCAGGTAAGAAGACCTTTCAAAAAATGACTTCACGCAATAAAATGATGTCATGCTGTAATGCAATAATATGATACACACGTCATGTGACTTCCTTAACACCCTGCTTACACTTAAATACTCTAATTTCCAGGCCGCGATTGGTTAATTGCTATAAAAACAATGAACCTTGTATACCTGAAATTATGGTTGGTAAGTCCGCGTTTGGCGAAGGATTGCTGTATATACCACCTTTTAAGGTCACATAAATATGTTGAGTTATATGTTAACTGTATACGTACCTATACCAAATGTAATCTCACCAAATAATCCATTGTGGCTGCTAGTGGCCGCACATCCCATTTAAAGAAAAAATCACCTGGATTCACATTCAAAAAGCACTGTCACCACATCCTACTGTAAACTTGGGAAGAGTCCTGAGATTCTGCAAGGCTTTCCTCCTTTAGGAAAAGTAATCAGTAGTCAGTGGATCTCTGGGTGAGGAGTCTGTGGGTCTCTGTGTGATGGGTCTGGTTGTCTGTGTGATGAGTTTGTGGGTCTCTGGGTGATGAGTCCATGAGTCTGTGTTAGTCTATGGCTCTGTGTGGCCAGTCTATGGATCTTGCTGTGAGTATAACATCAAGCCCTTATTCCAGACAGCCTGAATACTTGGATTGCGAGCCTGGCCTCGCGCATTCGTTGGCGTGCAAACGCATGGATCACTGGTGGCGACTGATATCCTTAGTGGAACATGCATAGGGCTGCTTCCCATCAGGAGGACCTATGTTTTACTTCATGTGGGAACAGCGATGTTGCTGCATCTTCTTTTCCCTTGGTGGTCAGGATGAGAGGATGAGCTGGTATGCGCACAGGAGTGGTTCAGTGCACAGTCCCTGGTACGCTGACCAGCATCGTACGGAAGCCTCCGACTGCAAGCCTCCGACTGCCAATCCTACTACAGTTCTCCCTACTGTCTTGTTCTGCAGCTGCATCAAATACCTTGTACTGGACCTCGGCCACAGCTGCTTTATTTTCCTGATATACAGCATTTAAATCTACTTCCAACTCGACCATTCTACGTGTGGCAATAGCAGCTGCCACACATTTTTCTTATTCAATAGGGCTCTTTTTAGCTTCGTGGCTGCCTCCCTTACATAATCGGGGGCACGCATGCATGCAGCCTCTGCTTCAGCACGTGCCATGGTAGCATCTGTACCAATCTTAGATATGTTTGATTTCAGTGATTTTAAAGATTTTGCAGTGTGCTTATAGGAACTGACAACCTAGCATTGTGACATAGTTATTGCACCCATGGGCGCCTTTTTCACCGCCCTGAATGGGTCTCAAACGGCTAGGCGAAAATGCTGACCTAATCGCAATGTGTGAAGGGATATCTCTCATTTGGACGCCTTCACGGCTGCCCCGAGACCTCCTCGAGGCACAAATCAGACTGTGTTGAAGCGAGTTAAACACGTAGGCTTTCGTGACCAATATAATCCATAGAGGTTTTTTGGGTTAGATCGCTTAAATATATAAATGTGTCATTAAAACTCGCCGCCACCCGACACCCTTACTAGTTGTCTGTGTCGGGTGGTGACGGGTTTTAACGACACACGTATATATTTACGCGATATAACCCAACAAACCTTTATTATGGATGTGTTTCTAATATTGTCAACTTAAAATGTTATCTTAATTAGGCAATTCAACGTTGAAAGAGTCATGATAATTTCAAGAATATGAACAAAACAATTTATAGAAAAGTACTTTGATGACAAAAATAATTTCTCATTTCCTCCAGCTGCTTGGTAGGGCGGCGCCCCCAATGCCCCTAGTGGACGAACTGCACCTGGAAAGATGTAAAATGTGCTGCAGTTCAAAGTGATGATGGCCGATGCTTGCTGTTGTGGTCAGACTGCTGTTGAAGTCGTAGATTAGCGGTGGCTTTATTGGCGTCACTGATGTCATAGGTAACCTCATTGGTAGACGTATCAGCGTGGTGTGTCCTTGGAGTGATCCCTGTTGCTGAATTTTTGAAGCGCAGTCGTAGTGGTTGGCCTAGCTGTAGAGATGTAGCCGGGATATTGTATATCTGCTGTAGTTTTTCTGTTCTGTCCTTGCCGGGCATGATGCTGCTCAACTATACATATCGCTAAACTGTCCCAAAACATCCTTTGCAAAATGTGCAATGTATACAACTTGGCCATACAGGGTACAAGTTTACATCAAATATTATGTGCAAGCAAACCATTACCCATTTACAATAATTTACTAAAGTCTTAAATCATCAGAGTGTATCTTACAACGCAGCCATTTTTCAACAATTAAACTACCAATATTTCAGCAAATGCTATCAAGGCTTCTGTTGTTGCTATCTTCAACATGAGTACAGTACTGCACTTTTGCATTAATCACTTCAATCCTGCCATTTAACACTCCTTATTGTTATTAGTAGCAACCTAATGTAACACCATAATTAATTACACATATTGCTATGCAGAGCTACAGTGTAAGCAGAGATTAGCAGCTGCACTATTTGGGTGTTGTGAAATCATAAATGGGCAGATAGCCCGTCGGTGTCCACTGCACATTCTGTCAATTGTTTCCACTTTCTTCTGTCTTGTGCCGATATGCTCAAGTAGGGCACAACTTTCTGGCAACAATCTCTTATGTGGTCAAGCCATTCCCTGTCAGGTCTTCTTCTTTATGATGCCTTCCATTTTCCCGAACAACACACTTTTAAATGTACTGTTGTCCATCCTACATATGTCTGAATTGTGCCAGTTTTCCTTCTCATCACTACCTGCATCAGTCAAGTCTTCTGTGTGAAAACTTTTTCTTAGTGATACTTTAGTCGGCTTAGTTGCAGTATCTTCTGTAGTACAGTACAAGGGCTCAGAGTACGCGGACCCGCTCATACGTGACCGACCCCGACTCATACATACACTTGTGACTCGTACTTTTGCTGCATGTACGGGGTTGGAAGCCAGTCAAATCATCCATGCCATCACGTGAACATGTATTTTACAGCGTGCAACTGTATCGCCCGTGCAATAAACGAGGCCACCCAGCTTGCATCATATACAGTGAGGGAAAAAAGTATTTGATCCCCTGCTAACAAAGAAATGATCAGTCTATAATTTTAATGGTAGGTTTGTTTGAACAGTGAGAGACAGATAACAACAACAAAATCCAGAAAATAGCATGTCAAAAATGTTATAAATTGATTTGCATTTTAATGAGGGAAATAAGTATTTGATCCCTCTGCAAAACATGACTTAGTACTTTGTGGCAAAACCCTTGTTAGCAATCACAGAGGTCAGACGTTCCTTGTAGTTGGCCACCAGGTTTGCACACATCTCAAGGAGGGATTTTGTCCCACTCCTCTTTGCAGATCTTCTCCAAGTCATTAAGGTTTCGAGGCTGACGTTTGGAAACTCGAACCTTCAGCCCCCTCCACAGATTTTCTATGGGATTAAGGTCTGGAGACTGGCTAGGCCACTCCAGGACCTTAATGTGCTTCTTCTTGAGCCACTCCTTTGTTGCCTTGGCCATGTGTTTTGGGTCATTGTCATGCTGGAATACCCATCCACGACCCATTTTCAATGCCCTGACTGAGGGAAGGAGGTTCTCACCCAAGATTTGACGGTACATGGCCCCGTCCATCGTCCGTTTGATGCGGTGAAGTTGTCCTGTCCCCTTAGCAGAAAAACACCCCCAAAGCATTTTGTTTCCACCTCCATGTTTGACGGTGGGGATGGTGTTCTTGGGGTCATAGGCAGCGTTCCTCCTCCTCCAAACACGGCGAGTTGAGTTGATGCCAAAGAGCTCCATTTTGGTCTCATCTGACCACAACACTTTCACCCAGTTGTCCTCTGAATCATTCAGATGTTCATTGCCAAACTTCAGACGGGCATGTATATGTGCTTTCTTGAGCAGGGGGACCTTGCGGGCGCTGCATGATTTCAGTCCTTCACGGCGTAGTGTGTTACCAATTGTTTTCTTGGTGACTATGGTCCCAGCTGCCTTGAGATCATTGACAAGATCCTCCCGTGTAGTTATGGGCTGATTCCTCACCGTTCTCATGATCATTACAACTCCACGAGGTGAGATCTTGCATGGAGCCCCAGGCTGAGGGAGATTGACAGTTTATGTTTCTTCCATTTGCGAATAATCACACCAACTGTTGTCACCTTCTCACCAAGCTGCTTGGCAATGGTCTTGTAGCCCATTCCAGCCTTGTGTAGGTCTACAGTCTTGTCCCTGACATCCTTTGAGAGCTCTTTGGTCTTGGCCATGGTGGAGAGTTTGGAATCTGATTGATTGATTGCTTCTGTGGACAGGTGTCTTTTATACAGGTAACAAGCTGAGATTAGGAGCACTCCCTTTAAGAGTGTGCTCCTAATCTGAGCGCGTTTCATGTATAAACGACACCTGGGAGCCAGAAATCTTTCTGATTGAGAGGGGGTCAAATATTATTTCCCTCATTAAAATGCAAATCAATTTATAACATTTTTGACATGCGTTTTTCTGGATTTTGTTGTTATTTTGTCTCTCACTGTTCAAATAAACCTACCATTAAAATTATAGACTGATCATTTCTTTGTCAGTGGGCAAACGTACAAAATCAGCAGGGGATGAAATACTTTTTTTCCCTCACTGTACAGTACACTCGTATAGGCGAACCCCAACTTCCCCGAATTCACGCTTACACCAGGGTACTCTGAGGTCTTACTGTAATACATTTCGAGTTACAATATTTTATCTCTGTCAGTCGTTTTCATGTCCAAGTCTCACAGGCATGCAAAGCTGTACTCAACAAGCATGCTCTTAAGATGTTCAGTTTAGTCTTGTTGCTGATTTACTTACTGCTCCAGATTTCATGAAAGCCTGCTATTACTCCTTTCGCCTTTGCGATCCTCGCTATGTCGTTTGTGCAGTCATCCCATGTCAGTAGACTTCCAAAGTATACACATTCCTTTTCATTCTTTCTCAATGTCCTCCCTTCCTAATGCCTCATTATTCTCTTAATCCATATAAAAAATGCTGCAATACTCGGTCCATATTTTTTTGTCTTTTTATCATTATTTTGCCTTGGTTCCACTTCGTCTTTAGGCTCTGGACTAGTTCACTTCCATGGTCTTGTGTTCTCTATACTTTACATTGCGCTACATGTAATGTGTATTTGTACAGCCAGCAGTTGGCTTTCACAGAGCTTCCATTATGTTAAATTAATAAACAATGTCAGGCCAAGGTAACTCAAAGGGATTAAAACAAACATGCAGCAGGCAGGCCCGATATGAAACATTCGTTAAGTATGTTTACCCAGGAAAGCCTCGATTAATTTTGCGTGAATATCAATTTAGTAACTGTGGATCTATGTCCAGGTTGTAATATGAAAACATTACGATGTAGGGCCTAGCTATGCAGGGCTTATCTGCTAAGCGTGCCCGCTGTTTTCTGTTTTCTCTTGTAATTTGTCTCAGCCTGGGTTATTGCTTTACCTCAATGAGGAGATCCTCGCTGAGTCTCAAAACTCTTTTTCAGGAGGGTTCTGCCAAGTTTGTTGCACTAGGCAGACATTTTACTGAATGTAATCTCAATTGAGTCATCCAGGTAATTTTTTGGGCAAAACCAACTCTATTGTTTATGGATTTAGCTACAAAGAAGACACCAGGTACCCGAACGAATCTCATGCAACATGGGCGACGAACATGCAAACTCCACTCCCTCACACGCAAAATAAAGACAAAGATGCACCCTACAGCTGGAACAGACTTTTGGGGCAAGTACTGTTAGCGACCACCTATGAAGGTCGGCATGATACACCAGGGGGTGGGTAGCCAGAACCACGCCCGACTGCCATTGTCTCTGGCCATCTGTAGACCATGAGTGTATCATTGTGTGTCTTTCTGTGCACATGAGTGGGGGGCAATGTGGGGAGCGGTGACGCATTGCTTCATGCACTTTGTGACTAACTCTTTGGAGTTTGATTCCCACTCTTGGCCAACATTGGTTGCAGTGAATAGATGAATTGGTCCTGGGCCTCCCATGGTTCGATTCAGCCTTAAATGATTACCTCTTGCAGTTTGGAAACATTATTGTTAGAGAGACAATGACAGCCGAGTTGGGTTCTGGCCACACCGCATCCTATTAATGCCATGCCAGCATTAATAGGTGCTGGTTATCAGCACTTGCATGAACAGGATATTTTGTCTCGGTGTACTTTGTTTTCGAGTGTGTAATGAGTACGTGTATTGTGTGTGCATGTACTCGGTGTATGTAATCTGGGGAGTAGTAGTGCAGTAGTTGGTGTGCTGCACTACGAACTCGGAGACACGAGTTAAATTCCTACTCATGGCCACCACCAGTGATTATAATTCAAGTCATTATTTGAACCATTCCTGGGCCTCCCCTAGGTCGACTCGGCTTAAAATGAGTACCTGGTGTGATGCGTAAGCATCACGACTAGGGAGACAGGCACCCATTTGTGATGCTGGGCACCCTCCCCCTCATTGCCTGTGTCAGCCTTCATAGGTGCTCACTAACAGCACTTGTCCCAACAGTCTTATGGATATACATGTGATCCTTGTCTTGTAATGCGTGGGTGTGTATTTTGTATAATGTGTATGTGTATATCTATATTTACAGAATTAATCGCATGGAGAAGAGACCCTCAACACAGCCTGGTGATAAAACGCATCGATGTGACCAGTGTTTATACAGCACGGATCGCATTGTACGTTTGAAGCAGCAACAGAGCAAATGCAGGGCCGAGAAGCCCTTCAAGTGCAGTGTATGTGGTAGGGCATTTGCACAATCAGGAACTCTTAAGAAACATAATACAACACACATGGGCGAGAAGCCCTTCAAGTGTACTGTGTGTGGGAAGGCATTTGCTCGTTCAGAAACTCTTCATATTCATCAGAGAACACACACCGGTGAGAAGCCCTTCAAGTGCACTGTGTGTGGGAAGTCATTTGCTCAACCAATAACTCTTCATATTCATCAGAGAACACACACCGGTGAGAAGCCCTTCAAGTGCACTGTGTGTGAGAAGTCATTTGCTCATGGAAAAACTCTTCAAATTCATCAGAGAACACACACAGGCGAGAAGCCCTTCAAGTGCAGTGTATGTGGTAAGGCATTTGCACAGTCAGAATATCTTAAGACACATAATAGAACACACACGGGTGAGAAGCCCTTCAAATGCACTGTGTGTGGGAAGGCATTTGCTCGTTCAAAAACTCTTCATAATCATCATGGAACACACACTGGTGAGAAGCCCTTCAAGTGCACTGTGTGTGGGAAGGCATTTGCTCTTTCAAAATATCTTAAGAAACATAAGAAAACACATTCAGATGAGAATCCTTTCAAGTGCACTGTCTGTGGGAAGGAGTTTACATTATCAGGAAAGCTAAAGAGGCATGAGAAGATCCACAAGGAGAAAGTTAAATCGACTTGTGAAAGTCAACATGCTGCAATGAAACGGGAATCAGAAGAAAATTCCAACTTGGAAACAAGGTCAGGAGTGACAGTGAAATGTGAAGAAGTGAAATGTGAGGAAGTGACGGTGAAATGTGAAGATCAAGATTCGACTCCAGGACCCAATCTACAAGTGGATGGAGGCAGCGTGAAGCAGGAGGAGCATTCGGATTCTGAGGGAGAGCGAGGCAATCCCCAGCAGTTTGTGGATGTGGAGGTGTGGGTGGAGTTTTTGGACAAATCTGAGTAGGAGGGGCCAGCACGTGTGAAATGGCACATTGGAAGATGTGTAACCTGGAGTTTGATGGGCTTTCTGTACAGATGAAGTTATTGAGTGTCGAAGTGAAATAGTCGATATGCAAAGCATTATGCTGCCTTATAAAACACGAATTAGGAATTGTTTTGATGGTTACATATTAAATGAAGTATGAATTGTAACTGTTGGGCATTACTATTAAAGTGGCTGTCAGGTGTGGCCATGCTTTTATGCATGCTCCCAATCTGTTATTTTATTGTTTTTGTAATGCCCTTTAATAAAATAAAAGGTAAGCATTTTTGTAATATTTACTTTTGGCTTCATACACTAAATATATGTTCATGATATCAAAACAATTTAATGTCAGGCCTACTTTCTGCACTTGTTTTGCTTTTAATCCCTTTGGCTTTCATTTAATTGGTCTTAGCCTGATGTTATTTTTTTCATTTTATATAATGGTAACAGCAGGGGTCTGCAAGTCTACTGTACATCCCACCTGATGGCTATGTACGCACCTTGCATAGTGTAGTTATTGTGGTTTATAATGCAATGTATCAAGTGTGCAGTGCATAGTGAATAGTATGTGTGGTGAAATGTGTGTATGTATGGTGATGTATAGTATGTCTACAGTGCAGTGTGTAAGAAGCCGGCTTCGGCTTTTCACGTGACGAATCGCACGCAATGTATCATTGCACTCAGTCGCAAGTTGCAGTCCAAAGGTGGCGAATGAGAGTAAAGTTCTGCATCTTGACGCTGCATGCCATTTGCAGTGAGGCGTGTTGTGCGCCATACAGTTGCTGTAGCTGGTGTGAGCTTACCTGCGATGAATCGCACGTGTAATTGTGCACTCTGCAATGTTTCTGTAATTGTTATGTAGAGCCAGGTGCTGGTGTTTTTTATACGTGTAGGTAATGTTCAGAGCATGCCACGCCTAACTGTGTGTAGACTATTCAAAGTACAGGGAACACCCCAATTTGAGGTGGACTGGTGAGATATTACATTATTCAAATAGGAAAATAAAATATAACTTAAATTATATTATTTCAATGTTAATCGAAAGCGATAGACTAGGTAATGTTTGTTGATTGAATTATTGGTGGTGAAGATATTCACAATTAAGACGTTGATTTTATTGAAGTTTTTTATATTTCAACATGTAATTTTGGTTATAATTGGGCCTAGAAAATGAACACTGGTGCTAAATCCCATCAAGAGGTACTGTGTGAAGTGGAGGGTGATAGGTTTGTGTCTGGTAATATTTACAGGTATGATACGTTCACTTATTTCCAGTTATGTTGTGTTTGCCGTTTTTTTCGCGGGAAGTTTAATACTAGAATTTTGCCGACCAAAGGCCGCCTTACTCTAGTAGCGCCTTCGAAGGGCTTCTCCGTGGTTGGCGTCTCACCCATTGCTCCCACTGATGTCCTCTTCTTCTCCCCCCCCCCCCATCTGTGCAGATACTGCTGAATTTAACACGTAGCCTTTCGCAACCAATATCCATAATACAGGTTTTTTCTTGGGTTAGATCGTGTGAATATATAAGTACGTCGTTAAACCAGCCACCATCCGACGCAGCCAATTAGTAAGATTTGTAATGTAAACAAAACATGCCAATTCGTTACTCATACAGCAAAGTGTTCGAGAGCCAAGCTAAATCATTTACTGTCTGAGTACGATGTTTTGCCAGTAATTACAACTAGCTTCATCAGGCAACAGCCAGATTTGTGCATGTAAAATGCACAAAATTGGCAGCATACGAATTTAGCCTTAAATTGAGTTAATGGGGCGAGCAGAATTAGTGTTTTGGCAGAGGTTCCAGTCTCAATTCAAAAAGAAAGCTTTAGTGGTTATTGTCAGTTAAATATCCCAAATTTACATGTTACTATAATTTCACGTATTATTGCTTTATTCCTAATATAAATACGTTTTGATTCGTTAATGCAATATTATTTTGGAACGTAGCACATTTAGGAGGCACTACACATATTTTAGGCATATGTTTGATGTGGAATATTTACATTTGTATTGTTAAATAAGATGTTAAATGTTCTTAGATTTGAAAAGCGGCTGTTTTAACTTATATTTGCAGTAGATTCCGTGCTGAGGAGCTGCTCTGAGCTGTTGTGTGACGTGGAAGGTGATAGGGATATGTTTGGTCATGATTACAGATATGCAAGTGCTCCTCGGAGGAACACTTTGAAATAAAGCATTTCCGTTTCACAAACCTCTGGTGCCCATCTGTAGTGGAGTCGCCCACTTCTCAGGAGGACAGAAAGCAATGCAGAGTATATGCTCATCCTCTCTGAGCTTTAATGTTCTTGTTTATTTGGCCGACCTATCCCCTTGTTACGATTCACAGGAGAAGGACAGGGTGGGCTGGCTACACATGGAATTTCTCCAGTTTATGTACCATGCTAGGTGCACTTTTAAGGCCACGTGAAATGTCAAAGGCCCTCCGGCAGATCACGCAACAGACCCAGGTGCCATGGATTGACTGAGATGACAGGCAGACTCACCACCTGTGCTCCCCACTGCCACATCGCTGCGTTTTATATGCCCTGCTCTCCGCTTGTTATTGTGAGCGTTGCGTCTCTGCCCTTTGTTGCTGGAGGGCGACTGCCTCTTAAGTGTCAAGGAGCGTCCTTCATGAATCTCCATAGGAGCCCATCTTGACACCTCTGGAACCAGTCATCGGCAAGTCCACTCGGCTCCAGTGGTGACTTGGTAATGAACTAAATCACCAGAGAGACAAGACTCCAGACACTGAAGTATACGTAAAGGGGCGTAAACCGCTATTTGCTTGAGTTGCGATACCTTAACTAGTTTCATACACTTCTAGTCTTGTTCATACACCAGAAGCCCAGATAATGAGACAAAGAGCGTCTGGATGGACTGGGCACAAACCACAGTGGGCACGTGATGGGCCGAGATGGGCAGGTGCAGTGGCTAGTTGGACAGGCAGCAATAGTAATACTGCCGCATCAACTGGATGATGAAATAGGCTGAGCTTCAGCTAGGGCAAGCTGGGTGCGGGCGAGTCATGAGCCAGAACATGCAGGTGGTAATCCTATCGTGCCAATTAGGTGATAAGATGAGCTTAACTTAGACAAGCTGGTTGTAGATCACAGCAAATTTATCACAAGCCAAGACGGGCAGGTGTGGTGGTAGGACAATGAGATGGTGGTTAATACAGAAGCACCAGTCAAGAGATGAGATGAACTGGGTTTGAGTTAAGGTGCAGTTCAGGCAGATCCAGGGAGCATCATCCCTTGGTGGTGGGGATATTCGAATTCATCCAGCAGCTCATTCTCTTGATCCATATCCTCAGAAATCACTGCAATTCTATGTCCATCTTTTTTTCATCTCTTCGTCAATGTTTGCCTTGGTTGCCACTTCCTATTTGGGCTCTGGACTAGTTTGTGCACTTCCCTGGTCTTGTGTTCTCCATACTTTACATTGCAGTTCATGTAATGTGTATTTGTACAGCCAGCAGGTGTAAAATGAATAAAATAATGTCAGGTTAAGATCAATTATATCAAACGCAAAGAGATTAAAACAAGTTCAGCAGGCAGGCCCGACAACACTTTTGTTGCGTATGTTTACCCAGGAAAGCCTTGCCTATTTTGTGTGAATATCAATTTAGTAACTTCATCGATGTCCAGGTTGTAATATGAAATCATAACAATGTGGGGCCTGGCCATGCAGGGCTTGCCTGCTGAACTTGCCGGCTTTTCTGGTTTTGCATATAATTTGTCGCAGCCTGGGTTATTGCTTTACCTGAGGAGATCCTCACTGAGTTTCTAGACTTTTTCAGGAGGGTCCTAACAAGTTTGTTGCAGTAGGGGAAGATTTTACTGCATGTAACCCCAATTGAATAATATCCGGGAAATTATTTCAGCAATGTGATCTTTTGAGCAAAACCAACTATGTTGTTTATGGGTTTAGCTGCAAGAAGACACCAGAAAACCTGGACGAATCCCATGCCATATGGGGGAAGAACATGCAAACTCCACTACTTTACACAATATAAATACAAATATGCACCCTACAGCTTGAACAGATATTGGGGCAAGTGCTGTTAGCGATCACCTATGAAGGTCGGTATAATACACCAAGGCGGAGGTGGCCAAAACCACACCCGACCGCCGTTATCTCTGGCTGTCTAGAGACCGTGAGTGTTTCATTGTGTGTCTCTGTGCATGTGAGTTTGATTCCCATTCATGGCCAATAGTTAGGAAGCATCGTTGGAGAGACTGACAGCCGGGTGTGGTTCTGGTCACACAGCATCCTTGTGTGTCATACCAGCATTAATAGGTGTTGGTTATCAATAATTGCATGAACAGGATATTTTGCCTCGTGTTTACTTTTTGTTTAAGTGTGTAATGAGTACGTATATTGTGTGTCGGTGTACTCTGGGTGCGTAATGTAGGGAGCGGTAATGCATTGGTTGGTGTGCTGCACTCCGAACCCGGAGACCCAAGTTAAATTCCCGCTCACGACCACCACCAGTGATGATTATCTAAACCAGGGGTGGGGAACCTTTTTTCTGCCAAGGGCCATTTGGATATAGATAACATCATTCGCGGGCCATACAAAATTATAAACTTAAAAATTAGACTGTTATATTTGGGCAAACATTTAATTAACTACTCGCAACTGCTTTTCCAAGTTTGCTCCTAGATTTATTGAATTTCGAGTCCCGACTGCGGTTTCCTTGGCAAGGCCAGACCAAATGTTTTCACGGGCCTTATATGGCCCGCGGGCCGGACGTTCCCCACCCCTGATCTAAACCATTCCTGGGACTTCCCGAGGTCCACTCAGCCTAAAATGAGTACCTGGTGTGATGCATAAGCATTGCTATTGTAGTAGATGCAAAATTTGAGGAGACTTCTCTCTTCTGGAGGCAGCACGTTTATTTAACATGTACATAACACAAAGGAGTACGGCCCTTTCCACCAGATACACTAAGGAGGTATTTCCTCAGGACTTCTGCCCTCACACTGGTTACACTCTGACCTGACACTGGTTAAGCTTTTGTCCCGACCCTAGCCAGGGGTTTAGGTTCTGTCCTTCAGGCTCTTCGCTTCAGGTCTTCCAGGTGGCAGCTCCAGGTCTCCGGAGTGGCTCTTTGGTCTTCAGGTAAATGACAACTGCCAGTCTCCTTCAGGGGTCCAGCTTTTATACTGGTTCCCGTCTCACTCAGTCCCTAGTCACTCCTTTCTTCTGGAACCGTCTGGAGGGGCCTGGGGAGTGACGTTATCCTCCAGCCCCCCTCCTGGGGGTCTGGGGTTCTGTACCTCTGGTCTTGAGCTACCTTGGGGTTTACCTTGGTCCAACGGCCTCACTCATCACCATTAGACTCCCTTCTGCCCCCTGTTCATTCGAGGCCGTTATTACAGGCTATAAGTAGTAGCAATCGTGTACAGCGCTCAACGATGCTGCTACATCACCCCCCCCCCCCCCCCCCCCGTAGCACTCAGCCATCCCAGCTGTTAACCCCCATCAAAAAGGTAAGAAAAGAACGAGTAAGGTATGTGTGCCGCACGTACAAGAACATCAACAAATGCAACAAAAAGTAAGTGACCCGACATAAATACCCGAGCCCACCTGTACAGCGCAGCATGGTCAGATCGCATCGTGAAGTGTCTTCTGTACAGATATGGGCGGTACAGGCCTACGAAAAACACAATCGGCAGGAGTTTGCGGCGCGTAATGCAAGTGTTGTTCGGTGGGGGAGAGAACCCTGCTCCCGTACGCGATCACACACTCCACTCCGTTGACTATTTGCGACAAGACTGCACCAATGCCGGTGTTACTTGCGTCAATGTCGAGGATAAACAGCACAGAGAAATCAGGGTAGCGGAGGGGAGGGGCGTTAACCAAAGCGTCCCGAAGTGCCCAAAACGAAGCCTCCTCCTCTCCCCAATGAAATTGTTTACCTTTGACCATCAACGCATGGAGTGGTTTCGCGACGGTGGCAAACCTGGCAAAACAGTGGCAGTAGTATGATGTGAAGCCGATGAAGCTTCACATCATACTACTACACTGTATAATATATACACAGCCCAATATAAGCTCCAACATTATGCATTGTATTGATATACCTCCAACTAAACTTTTTTCTACATCACATGACTATGCACCGTACTATACACTGCCACCAACATCATTAAAACCAACAAAATCATTTCTGATTCAACCGCATTAATTGATCAAACCAAACAGTTCTCGTTGAAACCTTCTGCGGCCAGGCCACCAAGATAAAATGGCCTTCCAAAGATACATAAAGAAGATATACCCCTTCGTCCCATCGTCACTACTATAAACCCCCCCGCCTACAAACTGGCTCGTTTTTGTCTGAAATCCTGCGGCCTTTCACTGGAAAAATCACCTCTGCGGTACTAAACTCTGCTCACCTGGTATCGACAATCAAGGGTATTTCCCTGTCCCCAGACGACCTGCTTGTCAGTTTTGATGTGGTTTGCTTATTCACCAAAGTTCCTGTACCTGACACCATCGCAATCAGTGAAGACTTAGTTAATCAAGGACTGAATACTGAGGTACCCCCCCTGGTGAGACACTGCTTAACCAATACATACTTCACCTGGAATGGAACTTTCTATAAAAAAAACTGAGGGCACCCCAATGGGCTCCCCCCTATCTCCGGTTGTAGCCAACGTTTTCATGAAGAAATTTGAGACTGACGCCATCCAGACTGCCACTCTATGCCCGACTTTATGGAAGAGGTATGTGGATGACACTTTTGTCATCTGGCCACATGGCCGGCCTGCTCTAGACCAGACATGGGCAAAGTACAGCCCCCGGGCCATATGCGGCCCGTTGGGCTTTTTAATCCGGCCCGCCGGGCTTTTTAATCCAGCCCGCCGAACTTGTCCAAATATTATTAAATTAAATTTTACCTTTCTCCTGTAATGCCCCCATCCCAATTAGATGGTGCACTTTGACCGGGAGTTACGACATGTTTTTGTATTGTTCATGTTAGTGCAATTTGTTAAATTGCCTTGCAAATAAATGCTTTGCTACCTGTTAAAGGCCAAATCCTTTCATGTAATTATTTTTACATGTTATTTATATCAGTTCACACAAACACTCCATCCATCTGTTCCTGGCCCAGCCCCTCTGTCAAATTTTAGAACCCATTGTGGCCCGAGAGTCAAAAAATGTGCCCACCCCTGCTCTAGACCAATTCCTCAACCACATCAA